CCGGGTCCGGAATGGTGAAAATGTGCGATTTTGATGCATTTTCGGCCTTAAAATGGCCGCTATTCGGCTATCGTTAATGAGATCATGAAACAAATGCACAAAACATAAGTCCGAACGGGGACTAACAAATGGTGACACTAATGCCAACCGGTGAAATTAATTTAAACTTATAATATCAATGCTGAATGGTGAGATCAAAGTTAACTGATGAAATCAATGCCAGCTGGTGAAATCAATGCCAATTGATGAAATCATTGAAAACTGAAGTGAGCAATGCTGAATGGTGAGATCAAAGTTAACTGGTGAGATCAATAGCAACTGAACAAATTAATGCCAACTGATGAAATCAATGCCAATAGAAGTAACTAATGCTGAATGATGAGATCAATGTCAACAACTAGTGAGACCAATGACAACTGATGAAATCAATGCCAACTGAAGTAAGGCATTGCAGAAGGCATTGCTAAATGACGAGATCAATTTCAATACTGACATTGAGTGTGTAAAATTACAATAATTAAGAATGGTTTAACACTTTGGATTGAAACCTTACTTGTGCATATGCATTAAGTTCTACACAGAATGGGTCTTCATAAACACCAGGTGTTTGTGATGGACTGTACTCATCAAAGTTCACAGTGGCTTTCAATTCAGCTTCTAGATTCCTACTTGGAAATCGCTGTCCAACATTCCAGACTAGTCGGCGTTTATCTGGACCAACAACAATAGTCCCAACTGAGGATGCAGCATCATAATTCAAAATACTGCCTCTGAAAAACAAAACAGGAATCAATGAACAATACTGTTTTTGTTCCAGGCAACAATTCCGAACATTGAATGTCACTGTTGTTTCTTCTGACTTTTTTTTAATTCACAAATTGCAAGTGCTGATATGAAGTCATTTTTTACCACAGAAACCATATTCATTATTTTGGGTCCACATGACAGGGCTGTGCAGAAGTCTCTCTATCAATTGGCAATTTAATGCACTATCCTTGCGTCAACCAGCCTAGTTCAAACACAAGCACCTGCATACCTTGACCAAGGTTCTCCCAAAGTCACATCCATTAGTGAATGAATCTCAGCCAGTGGAATAGGCCTTCCCACTGAGTCTTAGGCACACTCACCCAGGGTAGGGGTTCACCCTTTTTGGTGTTCAGCCTAAGGTAGGATTTATACTCAGGTCTACCGATTGTGAGTCTGTTGAAACCACCACTATGCTACCAGTGACAGGTTCCACATGTCATGTTTTTGGGGCGATACACATATTTATTAGCTTTACAATGGCATAAAATAATAGAAAATGCTTTTTCACATCATAATTACATTGTATATATATATCTATGGGTACCAATACTCTCAAACCAAATCACAATAATGTGATACATTTGAAGCTCACCTGTTGTAAAACGGAAATTGAACTTCACAGTAATCAAAACTGTTTTTAACCTTCTCGTGGAGTTTGAGTTGTACTAAAATTTTGACAGATTTCTGATCGCCTCTCATTTGATAGAATCCCTGAATTGGCAATTTTGTCAACGATAAGGAAGAGTAGTGACATAATAAATGGGTTTCAACTGGTGGAGAGAATCTTATACGTCTGGTTATCGGTTGGTCACTTCCATTGTCTATAAATAATGACAGAGAACTTAGAATTGATCACTGTAGTGCATTGTGGGTATGAAATGTAATGGCATGCTGTAAACTACGCTATTCTGCACTATCATTGTCCTCGCATGAATATTTGCATAATTAATCTAAACGTAAATTCTAATGATTTATATCACATGCATACACTAAGCCTAAATAAATGAAGCCACTACGGCAGTCTGTGCTATGATGTCAGACGACAGTTGTGGAAAAACAAAGCAAGCAGCAATACTGGGTAAGAAAAAAACACTGCACATAATGTAGCTACTCATTAAATTAATTAATTAAATAATGAATTTCGGGGCACATGCTTATAAGATGTGCCAACATGGTCGGTTCAAATGTATACTGATTAAAACCAAATTAAAAAAATGTATGCATAAAATAATTTAAAGTGAATGTTACAAAATTTATTAATTCAGTGACTGCACAAATTTTGATGCACAATCACGATTAGAAATATGTCCAGACATAGTCACATTTAATTTGCTTGTTTTCGGTCATTGGGAGGTAACACAGGTTGCTTTCTAGCATCAGGCTGTGACAATCAGAAATATAACATTTGAAAGTAAGCTTACACAATAACATTTATTTTCTTTTATTGAAATTCAAATTTAACAAACACATGTGAAAACAATCTGACTGTGCCATGTATTAGTTGTTAAACTATTAAAAGATATATAGTTTTGTAAGTGAAAAACATACTTACTGAATACGCCATCTGTTGAATGTGTATCAGCAACCATGACACATGGATGAACTATAAGGTTACTTATCGGTGGATGGTTTGGTAAAACAGATAAATTGACTGTAATATCTGGCGCAACACCCTCCAATTCTGCCTATAAAATTGCGATATAAATATAACATTATGGCAGTGCTATACTTTTTAGGTATATTCTTAAAATGGAAATTTAAAAAAATATTTACATGTTAAATATTTACATATAGTTCCATTATGACAAGTGGCGCTTGTAAGCAAGGGTACAAAAACAGAGATTTTCCCAAAATAATTTGACCAGGAAACTCAATTATGATAGTAGGTGACTGAACTCAGTATTTCAGCTTTTTCATTATTAACAGGCTAGACAACTTATTAGCCACTACCGTAAGTCACTTTCATAAGAAATTCCTTGATACATTTTAAAGAAAAGCTAAAAATAGAGAAGTGAAGACATCATCATGAAATTAAACAAGCAGCCTCTCGGCTGAGATAGCTCCGCTGTTAGCAATGCACATTTCAATTAAAGAACAGAAGATATCATTAGAAAATGAACAATATGTATAGTATCAAAGCAATGGGACTTGCTGTTTTCAACAAGAATTCAAAAATATCATTTTTCACCATAAATGATTGTGGTTTTTAACAAGAAGAAAATATCACTTTTTACCAAAAATGATAAAAATATTCATCAAAATTAGAGAATTTAAAATATCATGAAAAAAACAAATTTGAGAGTGGTCCACATGTAGTACCTATATATGTAATATCAAAGCAATTGGACTTGCAGTTTTTAACAAGAAATCGAAAATATCACTTTTTACCAAAAATGACTAAAATATTCACCAAAATTAGAGAATTGAAGATATCATCATGAAATGAACAAATCTGAGAGAGGTCTACCCAAGGTACATATACACCAAGTATCAAAACATTCAGGCTTGTAGTTTTCAAGAAGAAGTCGAAAAAGTAAAACATTGACACGGACGATGATGGACGACGGACAATCACTCATATGATAAGCTCCGCTTGACAAAGTCGACAGCGGAGCTAAAAAAATTGACAGAGGTTCACGCAAGGTATCTACATACCAAGTATCAAAGCTATTGTTCTGGTAGTTTTCAAGGAGAAGTCAAAAATGCAATTGTTGATAGACAACAGACAGACAGACAATCACCTATATAAACAGACAGACAGACAATCACCTATATAAACAGACAGACAGACAATCACCTATATAAACAGCTCCATCATTTATGACTACAGCAAAGCAAAAAACATGCCAAATATCAGTTTATAACTTATAATTTTACTTTATAAATTATCATCATTTATATTTTCTTGAATCAAATGATCTAATATTTGATCATATTACTTTAATACTTAGTGAAGTCATCAGAAAGCAACATATTATTGCGTTACTTACTTTACAACTGACACGACCGTAGACATCCCATACATCAGGAACGGTTGAACGGTCATACTGGACTGCACGAATAAACTCATGTATATGAAAATAAATATGAGATTTTACCCCTCGCAGCAATACTGGCTTCCATGCTGGTTGCTACATAAATCATCAAATAAAATGAAATAAAATACCATTAAAATATTGATGACATTATGGTATTCTTTTATTTTATTTACAGTATAAGATTATTTACTAAACCAGCAATTCAATCATTGTATATATCATAGTTTACATTATGGTCTTTGTGATTTTGTCAGTTTCCATGACAACAACATGATAATAATAAACAAGCAGCCTATCGGCTGAGATAGCTCCGCTGTTAGAAATGCACATTTCAATTAAAGAACTGAAGACATCATCAGAAAATGAACAATATGTATAGTATCAAAGCAATCGGACTTACAGTTTTTAACAAGAAGTCGAAAATATCACTTTCTACCAAAAATGACCAAAATATTCACCAAAATTAGAGAATTGAAGATATCATCACGAAATGAACAAATCTGAGAAAGGTCTACATGTAGTATCTATATATGTAATATCAAAGCAATTGAACTTTTGGTTTTTAACAAGAAGTCGAAAATATCACTTTTTACCAAATATGACAAAAATATTCACCAAAATTATAGAATCCAAGATATCATCACAAAATGAACAAATCTGAGAGAGGTCCACA